ATATTCTTATTTGCCTCCTACTTTATTAGAGTAAATTTTGAGCAAAATAATTTCTATCTAAAATTATTCTTCATTATTTAAAATATTCAGAAAGTTTTCTAAAGTTATATACAGAGTTTTAAAATAAAACTCCACTCTATATAATCTGTGTATAATCCACTCTATACTTTTGTAGGAAAAGCTAAGCTTGAAGATAAATAAAAAACTTTTTATTCAAGTATAAGATCATAAAATCTAAATAAACACTTCACTTTTTGCATACAGAATAGAATTTCGAAAATTGAATAGTTTTTTAAACATTCACAATTTAATTTCGAAAGTACAATAAAAGTATGAAATACAGAAATAATGCTGTTAGAATAATGATATTTATTATAATTAATACATTATTATATTAACTTTCTTTACATATAAGCTGTTTACAACTAACACAATATGCCATGTAGTCAATTGTACGTAACTATTATTCTATATATTAGTCTGTATATAACTTCTACTCTATACAATGTCTGCATTACACATGACGTGGAAAATAAATCATAATTAAATTTCTTTATTTAACTTCCATCTTTCATATCCTGTTTATACTAATCATGTAACTACATGTAAGTTATACATTTTATTTAACTTTATTTACTACATGAAAATAGATAAATTTTTTTCTTTCTGTATCTTTCAAAGCAATTGGAAATCAATTAACATCCCAAACAATTAATTTGAAATTACTAGAAACTGTGAAACTTTAGCCCGGAAATTAATTGCGTCCCCTAATCTCCGTCACGTGTAGATTTGGGATTAGCATAAGAGGAATCTATCTGACTGGCTTTCGTCTCATTTACTACTTTGCATAATAATGCATAATTTTACGTTTTAGTAATATAAGAGTACTAACTCGTTACATAATACGATTGTAAATTGCAAAGTGTGTTCTTTGAATTGAATTTTATATTTTTAGGAGAGATTTTAAAATGTGTTTTTCAAAAGAATTTAATTTTTAAATAAGAAAAAAGTAGGAGACTTTGGGAGAAAGTACACTGATTTTTTTTTCTTTACCGTAATTGTGAATACAGAAAAGTGCAATTTTAATTCTATTTTTTCCTTCTTCTAAATATTTTTTATTCATTGTTTTCCTCCTTTAAATATTTTTAATTCATTTCAAAATCTACATGCTGTCAGACGTCCTGTCTTCTTCCACGCCTTTCCAATTGCTTTGAATTCAATTCTAACTTTTCCTCCCCAAGTTGCTTTAGGACATCCTATTTTTCTGTTGCCTTGAGTGCCACATTCAAAAACATTTTTTACCATGAACACCGCACCGGTTACCCTACAACCGGAGTACAATAAAGCAATCATTGTTAACTCGAAATATGAAAAACACTGCATTATGAACTTCGAATTTCATCGCATCCCTTGCAATCTTCGTATCAACAGTATAATTATTGTATCAACTGTACATTGATTTTATCAATTGTAAGATCATCGTATCAACTGTAAAATCATAGTAACTTGGGCACAAGTAAAAACATACCGGTGTAAAATGAAACACTTCCACTAATGTAAGAAAAATTTGAATTTCGATGAAAGCAAATTATATTTTAAGAGCATTTTACAGCGCAATAAGCTAAATAACAATACAGAACTTAAGAAATGAAATACAAAAACATGGGATTGAAAACATAATAATTTTAAATAAAAAGTAAAATAATTTTAAAAGTAAAATATTTTTAAATATTCCACTTCCCGACGGTACAACGCATTCATCGCTAACAAAGGCAGAAACTTTGAAAAAAAAAATTTCATTTAAAATGCAGCAGGCGATACAGACATTATACTAATGCCGTACAGAGATCAAAGGAAAAGAAAAATATAAATACAGAAAGAGATGAAATATACAAAATAAAAAAACAAAAGCAAAACATCAAACACAAAAATTAAATCAAGAATGTTAATTGAACAAAAGATCTCTGGCCTCCCGGTATTGGGAGTAGATGCAGTTCTTTGTGAGAACTGAACAGTTGAGATGATGTCCAACATTCATCGTCGCACCACTGCGGCAGAGGGGGCAGGCAGGATTATCCACTATTTTAAGACTTTTCCGTCTTAAAATAGTAATGAGCGTATAAGCAATCGTGCTTGGTAGCAAGAAACTTAGAACATGTTTTGTGCCATTTTCCCATATCATCTACTGCACCACATGTAATGAAATTCACAAATAAATATGCAGCTGATCTCAGTCTTGTGTCCGTTTGGTTCTTCTACCTGCCATATCACTTTCGCATGACATTTCCGATCTTGGGTTCAATGCAATTCTAAATCTTACCCCCTTTAAAATTTGTCCCAATAATCCTTGGACACCCTGTATAGATACTACTTTTATGACATGTTGCTTCTTGTTTTCTGATTTTTAATAGTTCGGTGCTAAGCTGAAGTAGGAATTTGCATCATCTCCTCGCCATCTTGCTGTGAAAATTCAATTTTAACCCTTTGACGCAGATGAGACTTCGATATCTATTTTATAAATATCATTTTATATATCTCTAACTACAAGCAAAAATATATTTTGGTATTTTTTAGGTTTAAAAATCCATTTTATAGTTACTAAAAAAAATGTTAGGTTTTCTGAATTATATTTGCGTTAAAATATAAAATTCAAACAAAGTAGTTCCATTTTCTTTTTATTCACACTCAAAAAGTTTATCAATAATAGATTTGGAAAAGTAAAAGAATTTCAATGATGACTAACCGTTTGTCTAAAATCTAAATAACTACGCATTTGAGATATTATTGTTGGAAAGTGAGCCATGATTAGAAGATTTTAACTTTGTCATCGAAAAAATGGCCGTAGGTTTATGCTGAATTTCATAGCCAACAATTATTAAAATGATAAATATAAAATTATGTACTTATTTTTACTTTAAATACAAAATAATGAAGAAAAAAATATTGAAAATATGTTTAATAAAAGTTTTGTATCTAACGGCTAAAATCATTTCTCGCTACGGACAGTCAATTTTATGTAACTTTGTATCAATGATGATGGATAAATATATTCATCAATAACCTCAGTTGCATGTAGTTTTAAGTATATAAATTCCCATGTGAAACAATAACGAGCATTTCATTATGCATTTCACTAATGTAACAAAAAAGCAATCTAAATTGTTTAAAAATGAAACTATTTGAACAGTTTTAATGTATTTTTTTTTTAATTTCGATTTTGGAGCTATGAAGACGGAAACACAAAAAATACAAGGAATATAAAAACAAAGAAAACAAACTCAATTACTTGTAGAAAGGAATTTTATTTTAGATAAGGAAATTTCCATTATCTCCATTTTCTTGCGTTGTGAAAGAGTGAACATATCCAAATTATTAAAGTAACAGAAACATATTTATGCAGCAAATATTTGAATTGCAACTCTCTGTGAAACAAATTTAAGTGCTTCTAGATAGAATGTCAATACAATCCGCTGCTTTTATTACCAGCGATCATATCGGTAGCAATTTGTGAGCATGATATCTAATGGTGATTGCTAAGTAAAATTACGACAATTTGTTTACTTACATTTCAATAATTACAAATATTTAACAAATTACAATAATTACAGATATTTTCCAATTTTTTATAAATAAAAGAAATAAAATTTGTTATTGATTAATCATAAAAATATTTACGTTCAAATTAATAACTTATGAAAATTATCAAACAACGAGAAATGTATATTTGAGTTAGTTATTAAAATGTAAAACTGAATTCGAATCTAGGTTGTGAGATTTATATAAGATTCAGAAATAATATCAGTAGAATAAGAGTTAGATAAAACTCAATTAAGAATAATAAGAATTACGTAGCAAATTCTTCGTGAGATTATCTCAGTACGGTGCTAAGAAGTAATTAATTCAATAAAACTTAAATATAATAAAAAAATATTACATTTTATTGCATATATTTATTGTTCAACTTTTTTTAAGCTTGAACAATAAATATATGCAATAAAATGTAATATTTTTTTATTATATTTAATAAGTTTTATTGAAATAAATTATTAGCGTAACGTATTAAACGTAAGCAAATAAATCAATATCTTTACAAAATTTTTATACTTTAAATAAACTTTTTTTCAATAATATTATGTATTAATTTATATAGATTTTCAAGAAAATAACATATTTATTTATTAAATAATATAATATATATTGACAGTGAATTATAAAAATAAAGTCAGCATTATGGTTGAAAATCAATAAATGAAAAATTTATGAGGTCAAGTTAATGTCTTTATTTAATTTCTTCTTTTTTTCAGGATTCTAAGGAAATAATGAAGAGAACTCTTCGTTCTTCAAAAAACTCTCTATTCAAGTCTTTCAAGGATTTTTTTCCAACAGATTGCAATCGACTTCTTAAGTTTTACAAAGTTTAAACAAATGCATTAAAAAGAAGAAAAAAACTCAGCAAGACATTGAACGCGTTTATGAAGAATGTATGGAAGAATTTCATGAATATGTCCTTATTTAAATTTTAAATGATAATGCATGTAACTTTGGTAAAGGATTCTCCCAAGAAATGCATTAAAAAACGTCAACATGTTCTGAATAAGAAATAGAGTTTAAATAATAAATATATTGCTTAAAATATATTTTAAGCAAAAATCATTGAAAAAAAATCTGTGTAGTCTGGTAATACTTTGAAATATAAAGAGTATTAAATTTTTAATGAAATTTCGTTTCAGTTTTCAAAAGTTCTGAAAATAGAGATAAACATTTTTTATTAATAAAACTTTTAATATTGATATCTGAATGCTATTTTTTGTCAACACAAATTCAAAATAATACTTCAATGATACTTCCATGTTAAGAGAAAAAATGTTTTTCACTTTTAAACTTAGTCTTTATAAGTTCTCTCAAAATCCATATATTATTTTCTGTTAGAATCATTTGAAATATAACTATTTTATTATGTATCAAGCTAATCAATAATTTTTTTAACGAAATTATTTCAAATTGCTACCACATTCTTTGAAAATGGTTAAACTATTTTCTCTTTCAATAGCTATCTCAAACTTAGATAATGCGCAAAACTAACGTATCTTGTAATCTCTTCGAGAACAATGTCTATTAACCCATAATATTGATCAAAATATTAGATATGTCTTAAATTTGATACCTGTTAATATATAACACAACCTTAGATAATCTTAAAAACTATAACTTTTAACTGTAACAGTAACTAAAAAACTTAAACTTTTAACACTTATCCCATCCACAAAATTTATTTTAACCATGAATGATACAAACATATCAGATGTATTCATATTAGAAGGCGATATGAGAATACCAAGTGTGCTGGAGGCCATCATGTATATCATGTATATAACTGTATCTGTGGCCGCAATCGGTGGGAATGGAATGATATGCTACATAGTATTGGCATACCAAAGAATGAGAACAGTCACCAACTTTTTCATTCTCAACTTAGCTGTAGGCGACATCATGATGGCTTGTCTGTGTATTCCATTTGGATTTGTGTCCAACTTACTTTTACAGTATTGGCCTTTTGGTGCTGTTATGTGTGTGCTGGTGTCATACGCACAAGTGGTGTCAGTCTTCATTAGTGCTTATACCATGATTGCAATCAGTATAGACAGGTACATAGCGATTTTGTATCCTTTAAGACCAAGACTTACAAAATTGCAGGCCAAAGTCATCATAGTGATTGTATGGTTGGTTGCTCTACTTACTCCATTACCAACAGCTGTTCTGTCCAGACTAGAAGTACATCCAGCATGGAGTGGTGAAGAAAATGGTACGATTCGGTATGTCTGCATGGAGTCTTGGAAGTCTAAAGAGCAAAGATACTATTATAGTATGACTCTCATGGTACTGCAGTACTTTTTCCCTCTTTCAGTGCTACTTTATACATATACAAGAATAGCTATAGTTGTTTGGGGTAACAAGCCACCAGGAGAAGCAGAAGACATGAGGGATCAGAGATTGGCTGCGTCAAAAAGAAAAGTAAGCTATTGCATATTTTGTTGGCGTAATTTACACTTATTATTAAAACACAAGCTCGTTTAGTTTTCAGAAGAATATATCACTCATGGGCTGCAATAGTGGCACAACCAAAAAAAACACGCGTTTTGGACTGAGAACAGGTGTAAATATAAAAATACACATTCTTTCTGCAGCAATACTAGTACAACTCATAATTCAACTTAAAGGTAATCTTCGTTTAAGCAAACTAAAGCATTTCCTATGCATTTTGCTCAGCAATGAAAACTTCAAACCCACTTATCTCAAAACTTTATTTTTTGAGTTGTACCATTATTGCAGCCGATGAGCGATATCTGCATATTAGTAGTATGTTCGATATATACGAGTAATTTATAGCTTCGTTAATCAAAATTGTAATGTTATTTAAATCTGAAAATAGCGAATAACATTTAAAACAAGGACTTTTAACACAACTAAAGCTAAAGAATTTTTTTACAATGCAATTTTAGATGCGGCAAAATTAAAATATTCTTATGACTAAATGAAGGGTTTAATTAGTTTTTCTGAACGTTAGTTAGTTGTTAGTTATACTGCTCATTTAAAGAGTATATTAAGTGAAACATTAATAATTTCTGGTACACAGTACAAAAAATTATTTTTTTTAAAAAAGTAATTGCAAACAATTAATTTTTTTAAAAAAAGGCTGCAAGATCATTCCATAAGAAGGTTAAACATTTCAACGTTAATTAATTATCCCTATTAGAACAAAACTTGCATTTTATATGTGGATTGAAAGATTATGCGCCCTTTTTGTCATCAGATTTTCCATTAAACAGAAAAAAGAATAAATTGTGCCTTATGGGACTTTCTTACCTAAATATTTCAATAGGTTTTGACTATTACTCAAAATTAAAATTAGAAATTTTTTTTTGTTGATATTTTTTAGTTTTTGCGTAAATCATTTCTTTTTAATAAATTAGAGTCCTTTGAGTCGTTTTTATTTAAATGAATTTATATAAGAGACAAATATAACAAATATTTACTACTCATCCATAATTCCTCAGAGTATACGCTTTAATTTTAATGTAATGAAGCTCTTAGATTGAAAAGAATTTTAAAATCGTTGAATTATTAACACTCTTTCACAGCTCTGATTTGATTTGATTCTGCTATTTGTTAGGTAAATATTATTAATACTTAAATATTCTTCTTTAATTTAGTATTTAAATTTTGCATGAACTAAATTCAAATTTTTTAAAGAAAAAAATAAGTTGTTTTCTTTAAAAAAAATAGTGTTTATGAATGAAAACTCTACAAATGCTAACTATTTTTTTCTTCAATCTTGCTAACATTTCTGTTGCCATAATAAGGCTTCTGTAATTATACATAATTATTTGATGAAATTTTTTACAAGACATGTTATATAATTATCCAAATTAGCTGCTCTTTTCAATTCCATAAAATACCAAAATTGTCTGTGCACCTCTGAAAGAGAAAGGATAGCAAAACAAACATGAAAAAAAAATTGCATTTTTCTAGATTTTTTTATTATTTATACTATAGGAAAACTAGCAAAAGGCAAAAAATTCTTGATTCCAATATTATATCCAGACTATATACGTCTATGGTTATCCTTCACTCAAATAATTTGTAACTACACTTTTATTTTAGTTTTGTTAACAGATCTGTTGTTATCGCGAAATTTCTGTACTCATAGATCATAATTTGATTAAACCTTTTGCGAGCCACATTCTACATTAATTATAATTAATCTAAATTAATCTAAATAATTCTTCTAAATTAATCATAGCTTTAATTTCCATCGAATAGCTGAAATGTATATTAGTTTATGAAAAAAAATGTAAGAAAAACAAAATAAAAAAGTGCATTTTTCTAAAAAATAATAATATTAATACAATCAATTATTATATTTAAATTATTTTTTCATTTTTACTACAGAAAACATCACAGGATAAATAAATACTCCAGTTTAATATTATATTTAGACTATATAAGTCTGCGACTTAAGTTTAGTGCATTAATTTGTATCTATACTTTTATTCCGGTGTACTTCAAATTTATTAAAGCTTTAAAGCAGATAATTCTCACGTGTCAACCAAGTAATTACAGGCTGAAGGTGTGACCAAGACGGAAAGTTTCTAAATTATAAGGAAGTTAATCGTTTTCAATTAGTCTTTTACGCCTCATTCACTCGAAAGCTGAAATACTCTCGCGATTTTAAGCCATCTTCTATTACCTGATAATCCTTTTTACACCACATAGGAAACTCAAGTCAAAATTGACTCTACAAACCTTGTATTTTTCTTGGGAATAAAACTTTGCGGAAGTTCATTAGATTATTTTTAAGTAAAGTTTTATAAGTTTCACCGAAAATTGAAAATTGTTAGAAGTTTTGTTTCTTAAAATGCTTTTGGTAAAATAGTGCGAAAAGGGTAAGAAATAGATTAATAATTGCATCATGTAATTTTTTTCAACGCATTGTGATAAAGACAAAATTATTAAAGTGAATTAGTTACGAAGAGATTGGTTTCTAGAATTTAACAGTTTAAACTAGAAATTCGAAAAGTAAAAACCAAATAATTTTAAATTTAAAAACTACACTACTAAAGAGTATACAAAAACTATAAAATGAAAAAAAGGAGTAAAAAAAAAGTTAAGTACGTTGCTAATGATGTGTCGTCCATAGAACATTGAAGTTTGACAGGGGCCTTTTTTTACAGACACTCGTCACGATCCTTTCAGTTGTGTTGCAGTACATATCTTTAGTCGGAACAAATTCTTATTCGCTTAGAAGTCCCTGAAAATGTAAAATATAACTTTTCGAAACATATTAATAGTGTAAAAATTTTAGTATAAAATCGTTTTATACGGACAAGATATTCTTGATAATCTCGAGAAATAGTTTATGTACTGTATCATTAGCACAATTCATGTGTTTACGACTTGTTTGTGAAATTGTTTCTGGCTTTTTCAAATTTTGGCCCAACAAATTTGCCTTTCGTGTTCAGTTTCATATTCACATTTTTGATTCGTGTTTTCCCATTTTCGTTTTATAGTTTCATATTTGCACTTGAATCTGAGATTTCATTTTCTACTTCATCTGCTCTAATATTACTTATAAGAAATAATATTTTACTGACATAGAATGGAATAACAGGTTCTACAATATTGTCATTAATGTTTTTAATATAAATTAATACACAATCAGGCTCTGAAAGACAATCTTTCAAATCTGAATGAGAAACTGCTTCTAACAAGGGCACTGTTTATTCTAGCGTTATACATTTCTAAGAAATGGGGGAGATGCGGTGACCCAGAGAAATTGAGCATTTGTATCTCAATAAGGTGGCACAGGTTCGAATACAAACGTTAGCTGGCTGAAACAAATTCTATTCCCAGCTCTAACTGACCATAGTGCTGATGTAAAATATCTTCAGTGGTAGATGAAATAGAGGTAGTTCGAATTCTCTAACCGGACTAAGCTTTTGAGGTTTATGTGGTTTTCCTCTCCATGTAACGCAAATACAGGTTAATTGTATCAATATATATATATATATATATATATAACGGCTAAAATCATTTCT